TACATCGCTACGTTCACTATATAGAGCTACCTGCTATTACTTTTCATAAGCATGTTACTAAATTACTCCCTGTCTTGATTACACTGGTCAAAGTTTAAGCTAAAGGGTTTCGAGTTTTGAATATATGAGTATACTGTTGTTTATATTGGTTATAAAGACCTTGTTCTACCGGTGGTTATCTCGCTGACTCATTATTACTCCTGTAGACATACTATTACTGTTTAAAGACCAAGGCTTAGCCTAAGCAAAGGACCCTCCTAGAAATTAGCACTAGACAGCTTTGTCGGCTATCCTTGGTAAAGTTATTTTACTGTTTATTACTGTGTGGTATACGTGCACTGTCTAGGCAACATAGGGATCTATTTCCTCGAATTTATGACAATTATTAAATATTTTGTTTAATTTGGTACGTTTATACTAACATAATTGTATATTAATATTTCGATAATTCACTGATAATTATAATTGATTTTGCTAAATTCCTTAATAAATTTTGATATGACAATACTTCATGATCAATTCAGTGTTCTACTGCCGATGGTTATGGGAGGTTGTGCTTACCTGTGATATATTGTAAGGTAATCGTACTGTACATAGACAATATACACCGCTTCCACCTCTCCAATTTCATCCCAGGTATCATGGGAGGCGGACAGGCGGTGTACTGTACCATACCATTTACTTATTGCTTTTGTCTTATTATTTGAAGTGGATGACTATAACTCATAAAGAAATACTCTGCCTATGTTAAGTGTACTGTAAATATGTATAGATATTGATGGAAACATGGTTAGTGCACATAATGTGGGGCCACTCATGTGGCCCTCTAAGTTGATGGAGGGTCACAGTCAGTGGGGGAGGGTCACTCATGTGGCCCACTGAGTTGATGGAGGGTCACTCATATGGCCCCCTGAGTTGGGGAGGGTCACTCATGCGGCCCACTGAGTTAGAGAGCCACCCATGTGGCCCACATAGTTGATGGAGGGTCACTCATGTGGCCAACTTAGTTAATGGAGAGCCACTCATGTGGCCGACATAGTTAATGGAGAGCCACCCATGTGGCCCATTAAGTTGATGGATGGTCACTCATGTGGCCCACTGAGATGATTTAGGGTCACTCATGTGGCCTACTTAGTTGATGGATTGCCACTCATGTAGCCCACGGAGTTAATGGAGGGTGACTCATGTGGCCAGTTGATCGATGGTCACTCATGTGGCCCACTGAGATGATTAAGGGTCACTTAAGTGGCCCACTGAATTAATGGAAGGTCACTTATGTGGAACATTGAGTTGATGGATGGTCACTCATGTGGCTCACTAACATGATTAAGGGTTACTCATGTAGCCCACTGAATTAATGGAAGGTCACTTATGTGGCCCACTTAATTTATGGATTACCACTCATGTGGCTCACATAGTCAATGGATGGTCACTCACCCACTTACTTGATGGAGGGTCATTCATGTGGCATAGAGTCAATGGAGGGTCACTCATGTGGCCCACATAGTTGATGGAGGGTCACTTATGTGGCCCACTTAGTTGATTGAAAGCCACTCATGTGGCACATATAGTTATGGAGAGCCTCTCATTTGGCCCACATAGTCAATGAAGGGTCACTCATGTAGCCCACATAGTTTATGGAGGGTCACTCATGTGTTCCACTTAGTTAATGAAGAGCCACTCATGTGGCCCACTTAGTTAATGGAGAGCCACTCATGTGGCCCACTTAGTTAATGGAGGGTCACTCATGTGGCCCACAGTCAATGGAGGGTCACTCATGTGACCCGCATTGTCAATGGAGGGTCACTCATAATGGCCCACTTAGTTGATGGAAAGCCACTCATGTGACACACATAGTCAATGAAGGATCACTCATGTGGCCCACATAATTGATGGAAGTTCACTCATGTGGCCCACTTAGTTGATGGAGAGCCACTCATATAGCCCACATAGTTATGAAGAGCCACTCATTTGGCCCACATAGTCAATGTAGGGTCACTCATGTCGCCCGCATAGTTGATGGAGAGCCACTCATGTGGCCCACTTAGTTTATGGAGGGTCACTCATGTGGCCCACTTAGTTAATGGAGAGCCATTCATGCGGCCCACTTAGTTAATGAAGAGCCACTCATGTGGCCCACTAAGTTAATGTAGAGCCACTCATGTGGCCCACTTACTTGATGGAGAGCGACTCATGTGGCCCACTGAGTTAATAGAGGGTCACTCATTTGGACAATTAAGTTGAGGGATGGTCACTCATGTGGCCCACTGAGATGATTTAGGGTCACTCATGTGGCCAACTTAGTTGATGGATTACCACTCATGTGGCCCACTGAGTTAATGGAGGGTCATTCATATGACCCACTGAGTTGATGGATGGTCACTCATGTGGCCCATTGAGATGATTAAGGGTCTTTCTGTGTTGGTCACACAATATATATATATATATATATATATATATATATATATATATATATATATATATATATATATATATATATATATATATATATATATATATATATATTAGTTCTTGAATTGGTAAGTGGCAGGGATGAAGTAAACATTTTGTTGGTTTTTCATTATTGTAGAAAAATATAGTTTCGCAGGTACTGAGTTCAGTTGAGAGTATATTGTCCCTGCTCTGCTCAGGGAAGTGTCTTAGTGCACTTGCATTGGAGAACACTTAAGTGAGGTGTTCACTGGGTAACAGGTGATATGATAGTCTCTCTTTCACACCAGGGAGAGAGGGTGGTTAGGCAGGTCTTAAAGGAAACGCTTCAGATGTGTGTTGCTGAGCTGTGCTGACCCAGCTTGACCTAGCCTGCTCCCCGGAGGAAATGTCACCTCACCAATTGCTTCTCTTCGGTACCGCTCTTGCCTCGCAAGCGAGATGTCACTGTTTCGATTCCTGGCCCGGTGGAAGTTGTTTGGACATACTTTCTAGCTCTCAATGGTCCCTCTTCGCCTAGCAGTAATGTAAAGTACCTGTTGTAAATCGAAAGTTGCGAATTTGTATTCAGGGAAGGTTGTTGGAGCGTCCAATAACTTGATGACATAAACCATTGACTCTTCAGGCTTCTACGCCCTTGACTCTTCAGGCTTCTATGCCGGTAACTCATGAGACATAAAGGCAAACATGAACTTAAGATGCTTCCCTGTTGGGCGCTGTAAACGCTTCTGCGCTTCACCTTACACAAGGATGTAGGGGGGGGGTGCCCAATAAATAAAAAAAATAAATAAATTATTCATACACATGGGTGAATGACCTGGTGAATATATTGGTATTATACATTTGGGTAAATATTTATATAATACAAATGGTGCTGTTACATTTCATGTGTCCCACTGAATTAATGTTAGGTCACTTATGTGGCCCACTCATTGATGGATTGCCACTCAGGTGGCCCACATAGTCAATGGAGGGTCACTCATTATGGCCCGCTTAGTTGATGGAGGGTCACTCATGTGGCCCACAGTTAATGGAATGGTCACTCCTGTGGCCCACATAATTGATGGAAGGTCACTCATGTGGCCCACTTAGTTGATGGAGAGCCACTCATGTACCCCACATAGTTAATGGAGGGTCACTCATGTGGCCAACTTAGTTGAGGGAGAGCCACTCATATGGCCCACTTTGTTGATGGAGAGCCACTCATGTGGCCCACATAGTTGATGGAGAGCCACTCATGTGGCCCACATAGTTGATGGAGAGCCACTCATGTTGCCCACTTAGTTGACGGAGAGCCACTCATGTGGCCCACAAAGTTGATGAAGAGCCACTCATGTCGCCCACTTAGTTGATGGAGAGCCACTCATGTGGCCCACTTATTGATGAAGAGCCACTCATGTGGCCCACTTAGTTGATGGAGAGCCACTCATGTGGCCCACTTAGTTAATGGAGAGCCACTCATGTGGCCCACTTAGTTGATGGAGAGCCACTCATGTGGCCCACATAGTTGATGGAGAGCCACTCATGTGGTCCACAGAGATAATGGAGAGCCATTTAAGTGGCCCACTTAATTGATGGAGGGTCATTCATGTGGCCCACTTAGTTGATGGAGAGCCACTCATGTGGCCCACTTAGTTGATGGAGGTTGAATCATGTGGCCCACAAAGTCAATGGAGGGTCACTGATGTGGCCCACTTTGTTGATGGAGAGCCACTCATGTGCCTCACATAATTAATGGAGGGTCACTCATGTAGCCCACATAGTTAATGGAGTGCCATTCATGTGGCCCACTTGATTGATGGAGAGCCACTCATGTGGCCCACATAGTCAATGGAGAATCACTCTTGTGGCCCACATAGATGATGGAGAGTCACTCGTGCGACCCCCTTGCTAACCTCGGCTGCCCATCATTGCCTTACATTGTTTATATCCCTCTATAGCAGGGGTTCTTAACCTGGGGTACGTGAAGGTCAGATAAAAATTTAACATTTATATTCACTATATTCTTATATTAAGTTGTTCTATTTTTGTCAATATATACCAGATGTTATGTATGTATTTTTGGTTACTGAAGAAAACCAGGTTTTGACTTCTAGAATGGTTCCCATTGAAAGAAATTAAAGAAAACGTACCCTGCCGCTGCTTATAGCGCTGACCACTAAGCGTCTCTGGTGGCCCATGTTTACCATTTAAATTGGTAGCATCGTTCTCTGCACAACCACCATCTTGAGCCACTCCATATTACGTGCTTATTTCTCATTTTCCACGGTTTATCACGGCTTGGGAATCTTCTCATATACTGGTAAGGCTTAACTGAGGGCCATAGTATCTTCAAATACATACTTTTTCCTAAATATATTCAATTACCTATGGTTATGTTTTTGGTGAAGGTAGCGAAAGAGTGCCTTAGTTATTATTACTACAGCTGTACCAGCCGAGGTTGGAGACCTCCGACCGCCTTCTGACCACAATTTCAGAGTGTGGCTGAAGAGTGATGGGTGTACAGTGTGTGAATATGTGTTTGTGCGCATGTGGGTATGTGGGTGCATATGGAGAAAGGTGCGTGCAAGTGTTGTGAATAACCAAGAACGGTTGATGCGCTGTATTTATTTTTGTTTTATCCATTATTTACAACGTCTGTTATTATTTATTGGTCAAAGTTAGGAACTGGATGCACGTAGTTAGAGTAGGGATGCATAAATAGAGAGAGAATGGATAAAGTTAGGGTCTGGGTGCGTCAGTAGGGTAGGGAAACACGAAGTCATCAGTCAGTATCATTCGTATATTTTCTGAGGGGAACCTTGAGAAATCCGTAATAATACTACTGAAAATAGGGTTATCTGCCTGTCTGTGAAGGTTTGTCCGTCAGTCGGTCTGTGTGTCTGCCTGTTTATCTGCCGATCTGTCTTTCTCTCGGTCGATCTGTCGTGCTTATTAATTTGTGTTCATTAGTTGCTGCTTTCCATATAAATTACATTTTTTTTTTTGCAGGCCTAGCTCAATTTGGAAATGTGAAAAAAAAGGAAAAAAGGAAGTACAACGAAGCATACTTATCCTTTGGTTTTACTTTCATCGCTGAACGTGATGGGACACAAAAGCCACAGTGTTTCCTGTGTGGCAAGGTTCTTGCCAATGGAAGCATGAAGCCAACAAAGCTGAAGGAGCACCTCACGTGTGTCCATCCTGAAAATGCATCGGACAGTGTTGATCTATTTTGTGCAAAGAAGGCTCGATTTGAGAAAGCTAGAACTTTACCAAAACTTGGATTTGCCCCAACACAAAAGCCTTGTCCTGAAGCATCCTACAAGGTTGCTTATCGCATTGCCAAGCAAAAGAAGTCAAATACAATTGAAGAGACCTTGGTAAAGCCTTGTGCCCTGGAAATGGTTGAGCTGGTTTGTGGCTTGGAGCAGAGGAAGAAAATTGCAGCAGTGCCTTTCTCAAATGACGTCATCCACTCTAGAATGTTGACATTTCTTCTAATATTCTTAAGCAAGTAATGGAAGAATTGGCAGCTACGCCATTTCCGTTCAGCATGCAACTGGATGAAACTACTGACGTCTCTCACTGCAGCCAGCTCCTGGTTTTCGTCCGTTATATGCATGCTCATGCCATCAAATAAGAATTCCGATTTTGTGAGCCCCTTTTGGAAACTACAAAGGCCATCGACACCTTAGAAATGGTGAATAGTTTCTTTGCCAAGCAAAACTTCGACTGGAAGAAAAATCTTGGTACTCTGTGCACAGACGGAGCACCTGCGATGCTTAGCAACACATCTGGTTTTGCTGCTTTGGTGAAGAAAGAAGCTCCTCAGGTCATCGTGACCCATTGTTTTCTACATCGGCATGCATTGGCGTCAAAGACTCTGCCAGCAATTCTGAAAGAAGTCTTGTCTACTGGCGTGAAAGTCGTCAACTTCATCAGAGCCAGGGCTGTGAACCATCGCGTTTTCAAGAGGTTTTGTCAATAAATGGGAGCAGATTATGAAGTTCTCTACCACACAGAAGTTCGCTGGCTTTCCAGGGGACAAATCTTGAAACGCTTTATTGAACTTCGAGCAAAAGTTTCACTTTTTTTTGAGAGAAAAAGAAAGCCCTCTCTCAGAACAGTTTGACAGTGAGGAGTTCATTCATGGCTTGGCCTACATGGCGGATATTTTTGGCCATATGAATAAGGAGAATCTTGCGATTCAAGGCCCTGGAGTCACCATTATGGATGCTGCTGAAAGACTGCAAGCTTTTCTGGCCAAGCTGCCACTGTGGAAGAGGAGGTTGGAGGCAGACAACTATGCAAACTTTCCAATGTTATTGGAAGTGCTTCTGCAGGATGGAATCGAGAGTTACAAGGCCCTGTCAATTTCTCTGCAGGTAGAATTCTGCAGACATCTGGATACTCTGCAGAACTCTTTCAAAGGTTACTTCTGCTCAGGTGACCTTAAAGTTGAAACATGGATTCGTAATCCTTCCCTTGCCGACATAGACTGTATCAGTGATGAAGACCTTGCCAAAGATGACCTCATTGACCTGAAGACAAAGGAAATGTTACGAAATTAATTCAACTCGAAGAGTCTTGGAGAATTCTGGTGTGCGTTGACACAAGCCTACCCTCGTCTGGTAAAGCGAGCTATGGGTGACTCTGATTCCGTTTGCTACTACATACCTTTGTGAGTCAGGGTTTTCAGCACTTGTTTCTATCAAAACGAAAAGTAGAAATCGATTGGATGTCAAAGATGACATGAGTGTTACCTTGTCAAAGACCACTCCCAGTTTCATCTTCTTATTCAAGCCAAACAACAACAACCTTCTCATTGAAATGAACTTTTGAGCAGAATTAAAGTTTTGTTTCGTTTAATTGGCAGCAGATGATTGTATTTCATTTTGTATGGAGTGGCCATTAATTTTTGCATAAAAAAGTGTGAAACATAATTCTTTGTTAAGATTGTTTACTTTATTCATACTTTGTGTATGTCATACACTGTATGAGGCAATGAATTTTCAATAAAATAAAGTATATTCATTTCATGCAAAATTGTGTTTATGTGCTTATGTGCATTTTTCTAGGGAGGGGGTCCATAGCTTTCATCGGATTCTCAAAGGGGTCCGTGACTCAAAAAAGGTTAAGAACCACTGCTCTATAGTTTATACACTTGCCTATCCGATTGTAAACTTTCATGATAACTTTATTGAATTATTATTATTATTATTATTATTATGTTTATTATTATTATTTTTATTATTATTATTATCATTATTATTATTATTATTATTATTATTATTATTATTATTATTATTATTATTATTAATATTATTATTATTATTATTATTATTATTATTATTATTATTACTATCGTTCACTTATGTAATAACTCAGTCTCGCTGCTTCTTCCTGAGTGTACTGATGTTAATGTATAAATATTTTTCTCACCCTTCTACATTAACTTGTTAAGGGAGAGACGCTCATCTTTACTGTGTTCACCGCCTCAAGTGCTACCACAACTATAATTATTTTGTACCGTCTTTTAATATTATTTAATTCATCGATGAACAGAATAGGAATAATGTTTGGAGATCAAGTAACAGTGAAGATAATTAGATTTTACTCATCAGGTACATATACTCCATGCACTTAATCATAAGCTTTGGTCGGACCAAGCAGCTGAGGTGAGTCTTTTGTGTGGAACCCAACTCTTGGTCAATGGTCAATTAGGTGGACAGTAGGAAAGGCAAGGAAACTTCTTCACTTCCCAGTGTTCTCATTACACACCATACACTAGACGCGTTTTGAAGAACAATTGACTAATTATAATGTACACTGTTACAAAGATAACTAAACGTAGTAATTCATTAATAAAAAAAAATAAAAAAAATATTAATTACTCAGCTCCAAATTAAGTTCTTCATACCATTGTTCCTTGATAAATTTAGTAAATATGGAACACAAAAATAATCAAAACAACGATATATATATATATATATATATATAATCAACACCTCAACCCGCCAGGATTCGAACCCACGGCCCACAAGCCTATGACTGTGACCGGGGAACGCTAACGCGGGTTGAGGTGTTGATTGTATGTAGAAGTCCGCGTGCTTTATTGGGCTAATGAAATATATATGGATCCTCGTGTTTCGAAGCCGGATTTGGTAAAACGTTACTCTGACCACCTACGTGATACGGGTGGTCCCCATTAGAGGTTCACGGCGCCATAAGCTCGTTGAACAGGCCTTGTGTGAAATATAACAAAGTCTAGGACTGCTTTTAGTATCCTGGTGGTCCAGCGGTTAGCGTTCCCGGTCACAGTCATAGGCTTGTGGGCCGTGGGTTCGAATCCTGGCGGGTTGAGGTGTTGATTGTATGTAGAAGTCCGCGTGCTTTATTGGGCTAATGATATATATATATATATATATATATATATATATATATATATATATATATATATATATATATATATATATATATATATATATATATATACTTAAGAAAAATAAAGTATGAGACTTAGTAAGGTTTCCAAACAGTCAGCTCTGAGTCATATCAAGCAAATCCTTCGCTCATCATAATTAATCACTGATTACATCCCCTTAAGAAAATAAAAGTACACTTTACATTTTCTTATTTCTCAAGACAGTCACATGATCTGGTAAGATGTAAATATTACTTTCTTCCTCATCAATTTCAAACAAATATAAGTTAATATTAATATAATACAGTAGAGTGTAGGAGACACTCTCTTGTGCTCGCTATCAAGGTAACTAACCAAAGAAACACACGAGAGAATGTGGGCAGTGATTGTTTAACATACCCAACTCGAACAGACTAATGTATATACTGCCCTCTACCGAAGTACTGACTCACGCTGGATGGATATTTTTTCAGGTTAAACTTTGACGTTTTAACCTTTAAACATAGCAGCTCTAGTGATTATCATAATTAATATCCAATTGTGAACACAATAGCTCTTTTCGTTCTCAATTAATGCTGCCGACATATGTAGTTGGAGTGCTTAGTACTTATATAGTTATAGTCGATACCTACATGACGACAGCAGTAACTGCCGTACTCCGTACTCCTCAAATCCCGTCAGTGTGAGGAATCAATTATCTTCCTCATCAAACGAAATTTGTTTCCCCCTTCATTACATTAAACCCACAAAATACTGTAGATAACAAGAGATAAAGATCTTTAATGTAATGGGAGTAATTAGATATTAAACACAAAGGCTGACCCATTAACCAGTGTCCGCTCAAGTCTTCTTAGTGAGGTTCTCCAGAACTTTAACCTCTGCAAATTCGACAAAATAACAAATTCTAAATATATCTTAATTCATCTATTATGGTTGTTTCAAGGTAATTTTTACAAGGCCATGTCAACATAGGTGAAATACAAAGGAAATTGAGGCCAAATAATCAAATGTTGCAGCAGTTGTTTACCTTTGCCTGTGTCATAAAGTATCTTTGCTTTGAACTTATTGGTCAAGACATGAGGCAATTGTGAACCAATAATATTTTGCCATATCCGACCTTTGACTCCGTAAAAATAAATAAATTGATAAATAAGACCAGGATAGTTACCCATAAATCTTCCAAAAATGAAACAGAAATGAAAAAAGCAAAATCAGAAAATATACACTGAAAAGAGAAATAGAAAGGAAGGGCGTGTCTTCTTTTTTTGTGGAGGACACATTAAGTTATTACTATCAAGTAATGGAAGCAGGGAAACTATACTCACTGTACTGTACCGTGTTACACGTTACAGATAGCTCAGCTCCACGTTGTGTTCTGTAAGAGCAGCTGGTAAGTGCCTGGGCAGGTACTGGAGGTGAGTGTGTGTACCCACTTTGAGAGCCACCTCGGTCCTCCACTCCCTCAATGAACAATGGCAGGTTTGGATCAACTTTGTAAACATCATTCAAATGTTGTGGATCTTCGTGTGGGGCGGGAGTAGTTGTTGCTGTTTTAACCTCCGGCGGACAAAGTTTCACTAATATCTCCTTATGTCTAGCCTGAAAGTCACGTCGCGTTGAGTAAAAAAAAAATAGAACCAAAAAGCCGTCCTGTTTATACTAAGTTCGGTAATTTCGTGCAAAGGCAAAGCTGATGAAGTCGTTGGTGCAGCTGTTAAGACGCCACTAATAGGGAAGAACTGCCTGTTGACGGTCAAATGGTGTACGTCTTAATGAGCGTCCTTAAGTCTAGACCCAAGACCTGTCTCCGCCTCCGTGACTCCCGCCAAGGAGACACTCGTCACGGAGGGGCCTACTGCTGAGACAGCCGCCACGAACACAGACGCCAAGCAGAAAGCCGTCACGGATACAGCCATCTCGAAGACAACCGCCACGAAGATAGCCATCATGGAGACAACCGACACAGAGACAACCGTCGTGGAGACAGCCTTCACATAGACAGCCGTCGTGGAGACAGCCTCCACTGAGATAGCCGAGACGGGTGATTGCCATGGAGACTCACCAGGGAGACACCACTGTGGAGACCCGCCAGAGAGACGCCACTCGCCTTACGATAACAAACTACATAAATAATATTGTACCGTGTATGTTGAAGGTCGTCAGTCTTATCAAGTATATACACCGTAAACACTCGCTTTTTTCCTTCTTATAATCACCAAAATAAACAACCTAAGAAACTTTATATGTTTAATCTAAAACTAAATGGCGCCAGTATTTTTTTCGGATTTTAGAGCTGGTTCATAATATAGTATATTCCTATAATAATGGATTTTACAATAATCTTCAACACTCTTAAGTACGTCAATTTTGTTGGAGATCTTCTCATAAGATATTTCAAGAAAAGAATAGTATTTATTCTTATAAATTTGCTGTATAGAATGATATACTCAAGTTTCAAAAGTAATGAATAGATTTGTGAATGGGGTGTTACGACCGTGTCGTATTTTTCTATTTTTTTTGTTATATAACATGCTTCCATGTTCCATATTATTCCTGTAACGATG